GCATCTTTATGTGTGATTATGGCCATCACTGGAAAATCAGCCACAGAGAACAGAACTAAGTTTTAGACACAGTTTCTATGTCCTCACTTTCTCTCTTTGTCTCTTCAGCACCAGACAGAGGAGTTCAGACTATATGTGAGTAGAATATTTAGAGGTTATAAAATCAACGTTAGTTGTAACAACAAAGGTTTAATATAAGTGCTTGTTGTTCTGTTTATGACTGTAACTTTTACCTCCATCATTAGTGCCAATTGAAGTAAATGTGACACAGAAGTCATATTGGGCTGAGAAGAACGACAACCTCACACTGGACTTCACCTTCACCCCCAAACTAGAGTGCTCACACAACTTGTGGCTTGTTTCTTGTGATTGGTTGAAAAATGATACAATAAGCTGCTATAAACTTTTATACGAGTATATTGAACTTGATGGTGAGACAGTCTCAGAGTTTCAGGATGAAAAGTTTTCAGGACGAGTTGTGTTTGACAAAGACGTCCTCAGAAAAGGACGGATCAGACTCCATGTGTCCAGACTCAAGGTGGAGGACTCTGGAGTTTATGTGTGTAAACTAAACATTGGCCATTGCAAGGGATCAGACACATCTAAACTCAATGTGACCGGTAAGTGAGCTTTGATAAGTCAGTAAATTTATACTTTGAAGTTAGAGCAGTTTTCTGTTTGAATTTTGGACAATAAAAGTTTCTTTCCTCCTGTCCTTCACCAGACTCTCATCCATTTGAACTCCCAGCAACTGTCAGCCCTTCATCAGAGGATCGGGGAAGGACAGGATTACCTTTTGTGGCAGCAGCAGCAGCAGCAGCAGTGACTATTCTGATTATTTGTTACATTATTTACAGAAAGAAAACTAACTCTGAAAGACAACCTCTACGTTCTAGACAAGCTGAGTCTTCTTGTTTTGTGCTGTCTTAAGTTCCTTCTAATGTTTTATTGTGGGTTAAATATGTATTAATTAAATGCATTAATTTGGCAACCAGGTTCAATTTATAATCATGTTTAATGTGGTTGGAAATAATATAGCTTAAAAAGAGTAAAGGTACAATGATTTATATTTCAAAAAACTTTAAAAGCACTTTATAGTATATTAAAATATACTGTTTTTTGTCCTAAAAAAGAAAACTAATTACCTCATAAGAGTTTGACACATGAACCAGTTTTCCAAGGTTGTTTAGAAACTCAAGTGACTTCCTGGTTTGTGGTTAAATCAGCTGAACTGAGAAGAACAATGAAGTCATTTAGAAGAATGAAAGTAAAACTGCCAAAAACCAGTAAAGACATTTTTGTTTATTTTAGATTTTTTAAAATCAGAGAAATGTATGTTTTAAATGCACTAAAATGTTTTCAGTGATTTATAAAGTTTAAGGCTGTTTCTGTTTGGAGGTTTTTGCTCCTTTGTGTATTTTCATTAAAATAAACTTATAAGATGTGAATAAACTGCAGAATATGAATAAACTGTACAGCAAGAAGCTTTTATAATATGAAGGTATGTGAAAGTTTTGTTTAAAGTTCATGATGGCAAATATTCTTTTACATCCAATCAGATCAATCAGCATTAATACTGATTCAGCTGAGGTTGGTGTCACAAGATTCACTGTAAAAAATCTACAAAACACAAAAACAAACTGGAAAATTCCCATGATTTATATCTATTTTCTGTTCCCGCAGAATTTGCTTTGTAATGACAACGTATCAGATTTTCACTGAGCGACGGAACAGGAACAACTGATTTAACTGAAAACGAAACAATATGCAGACATTTTGAGAATTAATACTCAAATGTTTAAAGGTCACTCAGTGTCAGATTTACAGATTGATGTGTTTTCCTTACAGTCTCATATAAAGTCCTCTCACAACTGACCAATCAGAGTTGAGGTTTTCAGTCAGGGAAACAAACTAAAAGTTAGGAATTATTGCCAAAAGTTAAATTAGGCTTTCAGAGGACGGTTTCTGTTTTGGCACGTTTTAACGATCGAAGCACTGTCAGATAATGAGAATTAGTAACTTTTGAAGATTAGGACGAGTTAAAGAGTATTTGCAGTGATTGAATGAGGGACATGTGGGTTTGTCTCAATATGAAGGAGGAATATTGAAAAGAGCTGGAGCTTCTTAAAGAGACAGAAACCAATTTCAAGGCAAAATTGAGAAGTCATATTTCTTTTAAGTTATGTTTGATATATGAAGCATTTTCATAACAACTGAAGATAATATGTCATAATTGTGCTTTAAAATGGCACTATGTACCTGGAAATACATAACATCACTTTAATATCACTGAAACCGACCGGTAGAGAGTGATTATTCAGAGCAGTCTCAGTGATGATGAGAGATGATTAAAGACCTTTATCAGTATATGTACCAGTAGGAATATCCGTTAACTGTTAATGAATAGTCAAACTGAAAAAGCAAAAGCAAAAACAAGGAGCGACAGAGAGAAAAAGAACAAAAAAAGACAAACATGGCGGACCTCTAACTGCTGGACTTAGTTCTGATTTACAGAGAAACAGTGACACCCAGTGGTCAAACCTAAAATGAGAAGAAGCATGTTCTGGAAATTGCTCCAGGGTTTCCCATCGTTCACTTTGCTCATTATTCTGCCACTCAGGATGTACCAAACGCACAAATATTAGAATAAAATATTTTTATACAAACCACTACTACTATTTTGTAGTAGATGTTAACATATTTTAATCAGGAGAAAAGAAATCAAATCGCACCAGTAATTCATAAAAAGTAAAATCCACCATAGTATTTTTCACTGGGAAACAAGCAAAGCTGTTGCTTCTAACTTGTTCTACTTTAGTTGCAAAAAAACCAACAACAAAAAATCTAAAACTTTGCTCAGCTGCATTTCTATACAGTCCATGCAAAACTGAGCTAAACTAGACATTACAGATAATGTTTCCTGTTAACCTGGTTTAGGAGAACACTAAAAACCAAAGAAAGAACCATGTCAGACATTATAAACAAAAAGGTTCTGACCTGAGATTTAATCCATCTATCATCCCCAAACAAAACATCTTAAATCACAAAGTTCAGTCTTCAAACAGCATGTCACTGAATGACATCATGTTTTCTACAAACATGATTTTATTGTCAGTGCAACCAGATTAAATTTCCAGTAGAAAAGTAGAAATGTGTTTCTCAACAGCTTGGATTTAAAAATCTGTAAAAAAAATAAAAAATAAAAAAAAATAAAAATACATAATAATAATAATAATAATAATAATAATAATAATAATAATAATATTTGATTGTTGTATCTGCTGAAATGTGAATGTTGTCAGTATTTGACTTATGACAAAAACTATGATAATTTATAACACAATGGAATACAAAACAACAAAATATGGTACAAAATAGACATTAAAACATTTTATAACAAAAGTCATTAAAATCCTCGGGACCAGTTGGTATAACTAACAACAAGGTTTAAATTCATGAATTTTTAACGACTAAAAGTAACTCATGTTCTTCTCTGTAGACGTCAAACATCTTTAAACCTGAACAAATAATCCACTTTAAAAGACAAAACCATGTAAAGATAAACAAGAGCCTCTCAGGCTGTAAACTCCCTGTTTTGTCTGATTTACCTCAAGCCATCAACAGTGTGACCAGTAAATGATCGACTCTCTCTGTAACAAAACCCAGTGAACTTCATCACTTCATCCTCTTTCTGGTTTCATGCATTCTCTCTTCAAACCAGCAGAGGGCAGTAATGCAACCTGAACGCAGCCGGCTGTGGCCTGGTTCTGCAGTCTCTTCACTTCAGGCATCCTGGGCTGTGATGCTTGATGAGAGAAGCACAGGAAGCCAGGAAAGCTGAAGCTGAAGCTGCGGTGAAGAGTCCCAGTGCGACACAAAGACCCGTTCTGCCTCGGGTCGCTGGTTCTGGTTGTTCTGATGTCACTCTGGGCTCAACTTGGGCTGGAAAAATAAAAATAAGCCAAACAAGTACTGATCAAATTATCAATCATTTCACGTTTAAGAGTTACATCATCAGACAGACGAAAATATGAAGCTAAGTGGAATTTTTGGTATTTTAAGGCCGAAATAACAATAATTTATACAAGTACCAAAATCAGGAAAAGAAAATTTATTCAAATTAGTTTATTTTAATATAAAACTTATGAAACTTTAACAAAAACTGCAGGAGAGTGTCTGTCTGGTGAATCTTTGGTTAAAACATGTTTGTTCTTCATTCAGTGGGAAGAAAATCCAGAAATTTTACTCAAGTAAGAGCAGAAATACTAAATAATAAAGTTCCTGAAGTAAAAGTAAAAAGTACAGCAAAATAAAGTACTTTTAAAAGTAAAATTTTTCAAAAAAAGTTACTGAAATAAATGTAACTAGTTACTGTCTAACTCTGTACCTATGAAAATGCTGCATTTAAAAAAGTATTTATGGAAAATAAAGGACACTAAAGGAATTTAAAGAGCAAAAATAAAGTTCCCTTCAATCCCCAAGGAGCATTGCTCACATAATAACAGGAAACAAATTTCTGTGAATTATTTTCTTATTTTTAAGACAAAGGTTTGGACAATCTTTGTCTACCAAAGATCAAATATATTTTAACTGAGTTGAAACTTACGAGTGACGTTGAGCGTGAACTCCTTGACCTTCCTGCCGCACCCTGTGGCCATTCTGCAGAGATACCTGGCCGAGTCCTCGGCCCTGACGCCGGCCAGGTGAAGTCTGACCCGGCCCGCCGCCAGCGCTTCTTCATCGCACCGAACCCGACCAGCAAACTGCTGGTGTTGAGCTTCGACGACGCTGCTGTCCAGATGATAAAACACCTTCAGCCCAGGTAACTGGACACAGTGGATCTTAAGGGAGGAGACTCTAAAGCCAGGCCTGAGGGCAAAGCGCCACTCGATGGTGACGTCATCACGTTCCTCCGCCTGGTAAAGCAGACCATCGCTGTGACTCAACACTGACTCACCACAGATGGATGAGGTCATGGCAGTGAGCAGCAGGATCCTGCAGATCATCTTCCTCCTTCGGAAAACAGAAGATCATTAATGCAGATGAAGGTGGATTCAAGTGCAAAAAGCTATTCGGAGCTAAAGAGATTTAAATTCCTGATTATCTGTTAGAAAAACAGTTACACCTGCAGGCATTCAGCCATCTAACTGCTGCACAGTAAAACCTGAACGACCTGCTGCACTGATTGTTTATTCAAAGCTCTGCGAAGTCGTTTCACTACTCAAATTATTTAAATGTCATGTCATCTGTGTCTATTCTTCTGCCGTCTTTTTAACCCAAAATTTACTTATAAATTAAATTTTTAATCTCAACAATAACAGTTTAATCTGGTGAAATACAGACTACATAAAATGAAACAATTCACAGCCCCTGTTTTCTGTCATTTCTGTCTCAGTTCTGTTATATCATAAATACTCACATAATAACCAGACTGCTGGCTCTCCTGAATCAATATCTCCCAGAATGCTTCACTCTGCTTGTGAAGTTTAAAACTCTCAGTTTTACAGCTTGTGTTACTCTCAGCTGCTCCAGCTGCAAATACTCTTTACCCACAGATATGTTTGTTTTCACGGCTTCAAACGGGGAGTTTTTAAGTGTTACGTCACAGAACTGCTCCCTCTGACGTTTCTGTTTACGCTACAGTGGTAGTAAACACAGCTGGTCTCATAGGCAACAGAAATAATAATAAAAAATCATTACATTTGTCTAAAAATGTGTAGAAAGTCACTCACTAACAACAGCCTAAAGACATGAGGCCTAAATACTGAAATTCTACAGGATCAATAATGTAAATATATGAAATTATTAAGTAGGTAAGCATTCAATCACCCCTGAAAATGACTTTTGAAACAGTGTTTCCATAGGAACAGTGAGTGAAGTAAATAAACTGAGACCTGTGACAAGTCATCAGGAAGTACACGTGCAGGTTCAACCCAGTTACAGGAAGAACCAGTGAAGATATGAAAGGTTTTTACAGCAGGGCAACAACTTTCACTTTGAGAAAAGCTCACAGTTATGATAACAAAGGAGTGATCGCAAATATGAGTCAATAAATGCACGTTTTATCTTGATCCGTTACACAGAGCTGCACTTCTCAACCACAATTTCCTAATTTATGAGAAAAATCACAGGTGAGCTGTAACCGGATCAGTGATTTTATTTGTTCATGTGACTCGAGTGCAAAGCAAAAACAAGAAATGTGTGGAGAAATAGTGGCGATTCTGTGAAACATTTAAAATACGTTGAGAGACGTTGAGGGGCTGCAGCCAGAAAACATTTTCAGAAGAGTCGTGATCCAAATCAACGCAGAAATAATTAATTTCACACAAAATGAGCCTCAGTCCCACATGAAA